ACAAAAATTAGCTGGGTGTGGTAGCATGTGCCTGTAGTCCCAGCTACTCAGGAGGCTGAGGCAGGAGAATTGCTCGAACCCGGGAGGCGGAGGTTGCAGTGAGCTGAGATTGTGCCACTGCAATCCAGCCTGGCACCTGGCGACAAAGTAAGACTCTATCTCAAAGTAAAAAAAAAGAACTCCTGGTGCCTGGAACGCTGACTGCTCCGTTAACCTCTAACACAAACAGCAACAATAGCATACAATGACAACAGTCATGACAAGAGACACTTGTGGGTGTCTTCTATCAGCCAGGCACGTTTCTAATTGGCACTCTAAAATATACTAACCATTTAGTCTGCACAAAACCTCACAAGGTAGGTACTATGAACACCCCGAATTTAGATGGGGAAACTGAGGCACTGACAGTTTAAACTGTGGAACTAGAAGGCAATTCTCAGAAGAGCAAAGCTCAGCAGAAGACAGCTGGAGAAGAATTTGCAAAGCCTGTTTCATTGTAGATAATATACATGTCCTCCATGCTTGGAGGAAGGACCCTGTGAAGTCAGGGTTCCCCTGGCAGAGGTGGAGGACAGGCATGCTGCGTCAGGTGGACTCAGTGGCCTGCAACTGTGGGCACTTCCTGGCCAGTGGCAAACAAACACTGGCAACGTCTGCTAATTCCATACTCAACGCAGTGACTGCCAACACGTCTTCATTCTGTCTGCTGGATGCCTTGTAAGCAGGAAAGCCTCTGGCCCTTGGAATAGGGAGGTCTACTACTCCGTGCCCACAAAAGCCCCCACCTTCCCATCAGAACCATGCCTCAGGCTCCAGTCCCACAGGTCCCAGCATCAAGAGAAAATATCCCACGGTGACAGAGAGAATGATGCTGTCCTGCAGGACCACTACGTGGACTGTGTGGCTACCCTGCTGTCTCCTTCTCCAAGACTCCCTCAACTCTTTGTTTGTTTGAGACAGGGTCTCACTGTTGATCAGGCTGGAGTGCAATGGCATGATCACAGCTCACAGCAGCCTCGGCCTCCCAGGCCCAGGTGATCCTCCCACCTCAGCCTCTCAAGCGGCTAGGACTACAGCACTCACCAACACACCTGGCTAATATTTCCTTCTTTATTTACGTAGAGACAGAGTCTCACTCTGTCACCCTGGAGTGCAATGGTACAATCTTGGCTCACTGCAACCTCCACCTCCTGGGTGGAAGTGATTCTTGTGCCTCAGCCACCTGAGTAGCTTGGATTACAGGTGTGTGCCACCACACCCAGCTAATTTTTGTATTTTTTGTAGAGACAGGAATTTTGCCGAGTTGCCCAGGCTGGTCTTGAACTCCTGGCCTCAAGAGACCCACCTGCCTTAGCCTCCCAAAGTGCTGGGATTGTAGGCCTGAGCCACCACACCTGCCCTCAAACTCCTTAAAAATTAGTATTTAGCAGAGGTCTTAGCGAAAACAGTGCACAGGAAGCAGTGTCACACCCTCAGGATCACACATCAGTGGTTCTTGACCTGATGTCAGGCGCAGGGCCAGGGCCTCAGTATTTCTTAGAAAGCTCCTGAGGTGATTCTACTGTGCAGCCACGTTGAGAAACTCTAACGCAGGATGCTGCCGTGGGGTAAATTAGTACCTTCCAAACTCGTGTTACAAATGGGGGGAATAAAAAGACTGAAAAGGGGGAGAAAGTCTTAAGGCATTGGGCTCTAAGTCTGTGTTTTCTAAACAGCAGTAAATTGCATCCGCCTCATAGCACAGGCACCCATGTCTTCCCAACGCTGTGCTCACCGGGACGGGGAAGCCTTCATATTCCAGGCGTAGCTGGGGGTCAGGGAAGGCAGCCTGCCAGCAATTCATGTGGGAGACCTCATCTGTTAGGTACACTTCCTGGAGCCAAGACCTCTTAGACGATTTCAGGAGGGTCCTGTGGTCACTCGATAAATACAACTGAAAATGACAGCAAGCAGATGCACTAAGTCAGAGCTCTGTGAAAAGCTGGGGAATAAAGAAGCAACTGACTGGCTGGATGGCAAGCACATTCAAAGCAGTTCTCAAAAACGCTGTTTCTACTGATCGTATGAGAAAGCACAATTTTCCTCTGCCTTAGAAATGCCATCTGGTGCACACACACACACACACAATCACACACACACGATCACACATTCTCACACACATACAATGATCACACACATACACACACACAATCACACATACACACATGATCACACACAATCACACACACACATACAATCACACATATACACACAAACACAATCACACACACACGATCACACAAATTCACAATCACATACGCACAATCACACACAATCACACACTCACAATCACACACATACACAATCACACACAATCACAATCACACACATACACCTACAAACACAATCATACATACACAATCACACAAATTCACAATCACACACACACATACACACACAATCACACCATACACAATCACATACACACAATCACACACTCTTACAATCACACACATACACAATCACACACATACACAATCACGCACAATCACAATCACACACATACATACACACAATTACACACACACACACACACACACACACACACACACCTCCAACTACTTTTGCTTCCTCTGAATACCAAACTCAATCTTCCTCTCTCCTTCCTACTTCCTGTGCCCTGTTCCCCTTTCAGGGTACAGGAACTGGATCAATGGGTTTTTTTTTGTCTTGTTTTGAGACAGGGTCTCGTTTTGTTGCCCAGGCTGGAGCACAGTGGCAATCACGGTTCATTGCAGCCTCCAACTCCTCCTGGGCTCAAGCGATCCTCCTGCCTCCCAAGTAGCTGGGACTGCATGTGCACACTGCCATGCCCAGCTAATGTTTTTTATTTTTTGTAGAGACAGGATCCCATTGTTTCCCAAGCTGGTCTTGAACTCCTGGGCTCAAGCAATCCTCCCACCTTGGCCTCCCAAAGTGCTGGGTTTACAGGTATGAATGACCATGCCCAGCGATGGATTAATATTTTATGTATTATAAATGATGTTGCATTAAACTCATCGCATGAAATGAATTATTCTTCAAGTCAATATCCTCACAGCTGATATTCATTTGTGAGCCTCCAAGGTGACCCACACCCCTCTGGAATTGATGTCCATGCTAGAAAATTATGTTGGCTATCTGGCTGCCTGTCATCTTGCCAAGAAGCTACCCCCATCCTCCTGAAAAGTCCACAATGTTAGTTCCTTGTTAGTTCTTCACTGGTTCAGCTCCACCCTGAGTGTGGAGGTAATTTCTGCATATTTTGACAGGTTTCCAATAAGCACCTTTCCCATGCAAGGCTGTGCTGTGAGCACTAGGGGAAAGGCAGAGATGTTACTGTCCTCAAGAGGTTCTCCACTTAGCAGAAGAGGTGGTGGAGCATGGAAACCGGAAGCACCTACATACACCTGCCTCGTGAGGGAGGTCCAGCAGACTCACAATGAGCTGGGGGACGCAGAGGTAGGAGCACAGTGCTTTCCTGGGGGATCAAAAGAGGCTCTGAGGAGGAGGCTGCAAAGCCAGAGGGGGTGAGCACATAGAGGGGGAGGGTTTATTACAGAGGGCTTCAGATGCCACAGCAAACAGCCAGAACTTCATTCAAAGGGCAATGGGGAGCTGCTGCTGATTCCAGTGAGGATGAGAAGTGACTAGACCTGTGTTTGTAAAAGATCGACCTGAAAAATAATTAAATTTAAAAATAAAAATAAAAATAAAATCAACCTGGCAGTACCCCATCTAGTATGGTCTGAAGTCAGGACAGACTAACAGGGAAAAACAGGGGGGGCCCAGGCTGCTGAGGGGCTGCACGCAGCATGAGAAACAGGCTAAAGAGCAGTGTGAAGGGAGAACAGGGCCTAGGAACAGAAGACGGGACCTGGGAATCAGCCGGACGTGAGTGGGAAAGGAAGATGGGCCCAAGCCAGATTCACCACTGGTTCTGGATGATGGTGCCTTTCAGAGCAACATGAAAACCAGAACTTAAAAAGGGGAATAAGGCCAGGTGCAGTGGCTTATGCCTGTAATCCCAGCACTTTGGGAGGCCGAGGCAGGAGGATCACTTGAGGCTAGGAGTTCAAGATCGGTCTAGAAAATATGGTGAAACCCTGTCTCTACTAAAAATACAAAAATTAGCCAGGTGTGGTGGCGGGCGACTGTAATCCCAGCTATGTGGGAGGCTGAGGCATGAGAATTGCTTGAACCTGGGAGGCAGAGGCAGAGGCTACAGAGAGTCAAGATCTCATAACTGCACTCCAGCCTGGGCAACAGAGCGAGCCTCTGACTCTTCAAAAAAAAAAAAAAAATTGGTAAATAATATCTATCTCAAACCACAAACTGCTTTGTTCACCTAAAGTAAAACAATAATAAAATCAGGAACTAACCCAGTAGGCCACTATTACATCAACGCTTCCATGAATGCCCCAGAAGTGCTTGCTAATTCAAAGACAAGAAACCAAAATTAGAGGTCTAAGAATGGGAGAAGAGAGAAAATGTCATCATTTGAAGATTAAATCACTGTCTGTCCAGAAAACATAAGAGAATCAACTGAAAAGGCTACAGAATTCATGAGTAAGTGGTTTCATCAGAGGTGAATATAAAAATCAATAGCCTTCTTATATAAGAGAAATTATTCTTTATACTATCAAATGTTCTATCTTTATTCTAGCAAGAAGACCTCTCTACAATAGCATCTGAAAATACAAAATACCAAGGAAAAACCCTTAACAAAATTGTTCTCAAACACATGTAAAGAAAACCACAAAATCTTACTGGGTGATATAAAATTTTGCTGAGAGAATAAATAGAGAGACACCTCAGAAGAATAAATATGGGAAAGCTACTAAATATGTGAATTTAGTTAATGTTACAATGCCAATCAAAATATAACAACAAGTAATCTTTTCCCCACAGGGGCAGAGGGACTTGGAAAAAATGACCATTATATTTAACTGAGAAATTAATTCCTAACGTAATTAAGACAAAGAAGTGTAATGAGAGGCAACAAGCCCTATGAGCCCTCAAGTCAAAGAGCTATGAATCCTATCATAAATCTCTAATAATTAAGACACTATAGTCCTAGAATAAAAATAGATAACTGGGCTGGGCGCAGTGGCTCATGCCTGTAATCCCAGCACTTTGGGAGGCAGAGGCAAGGGGATCACTTGAACTCAAGAGTTCAAGACCAGCCTGGCCAACATGGCAAAACCCTGTCTCTACAAAACAAAACAAAATCAAAATTTAGCCAGGCGTAGTGGGGTGCACCTGTGGTCCCCGCTACTCAGGAGACTGAGGCAGGAGGATTGCTTGAGCCGGGGAGGTGGAGGTTGCAGTGAGCCATGTTTGTGACACTGCACTCCAGCCTAAGCGACAGAGTGAGACACTGTCTCAAAAAAAAGAAGAAGAAGAAGAAGACAACTAGAGTTTAATGGATCAAAATAGAAAGCTCAGCAGTAGGTTGTATACACGCTAAGGGAAATGCCATGCATCTGCAGAGAAAGGAATAATTATTCAAGAGATAATAGATATAACTCACTAGTCATCTGGGAAAAAATAAGATATTCTTTCTTTTTTTTTTTTTTTTATAAAGACGGGGTTTCACTAAGTTGGTCAGGCTGGTCTTGAACTCCCAACCTCAGGTGATCCGCCCGCCTTGGCCTCCAAAGTGCTCGGATTACAGGCGTGAGCCACCACGCCCAGCCAAAAAATGAGATATTCACATAAAACCCTTTATCAAAATAAATCCCAAGTGGATTCAATAATAAATTTAAACAAAAGTCAAATTGTAAACATCTAGAAGCTAATGCAAGTTTTTCTTTTTATCAGATCTCTGAAGCAGTCTTTAAAAGCAATGGAAGGAATTACAAAAAAAAACACTGATACATTTTACTCAAGAATATAATATTAGGGCAACCATAACTTAAAAGCCAAGCAGCAAATGGAAATAATAGCAACACGTATGACAAAATTTAGTCATCGGTGGCATATAAACCCAAATCAATACAAAGGTAAAAAAACGAGATGATTTGCAGGAGAGAGGAGAGGGAGGGAGAAATGAAAAAAAAAAATTGAGAGAGAAAGAAAGAGATAAGAAAGAGAACAAACTTAAAATGTAGGAGAAATTATAAGTACCACAACATTTACATATCACTTTTTTCTTTCTATTTTGTTTGCTTATCAAATAAGCAAAGTTTTAAATTGTGATATTTAATACAATCAAAGAAGCAGTAGATAATTATTCTTATTTATTGTTGCTGAGAGTGCAAATTGGTACAGCCCATTACAAAAAGAACTCTTTATATGTATCAATACTTTTCAATGTGTTCGTATTCTTTGACTCAGGAATTCTATGCCCAAAAATCTATCCCAAAGGTAGAATCCCTAATTTGGAGTTTGAGAGGGGAAGCTTCGAGCATTTATACACAAATGCACGCTGGAACTTTACATAGGAGAGAGACATCTTGGGCCAAACCCACTGCCCAGAAGTAGAAGAAAGGTTAGGTAAATTATGATACTGCCACACAATTATATCTTAGGCTCTCATTAAATGTTACTGTCATTTTAAAAAGCTTTAAAGATGCTATTTTAGAAAGAATAATCTATCTGTATATTCATCTAAGTTTTAAAAAAATACATAGGAATATAAAAATAAACCAAAATGTTAATGGTGCTATCTTTGGTTAAGATATGGCAATTGACTCTCTTCTTTCAATGTCGATATTTATCAGGCTGCGACTTACCATCTGTGGGGTGTGAAAGTTTAATTGGTAGCACTGTTTCTTCTTCTTTTTTTTTTTTTTTTTTTACAGAGGGTCTCTTTCTGTCAGGCTGGAGTGCAGTGGTGCAAACCCTAGTTTCTGCCTTCCAGTTTAAGCAATCCTCCCACCTCAGCCTCACAAGTATCTGGGACTACAAGAACATACCTGGCTGATTTTTTAAAAAAATTTTGTTGACATGGGGTCTCACTGTATCACCCAGGCTGATCTACAACTCCTGGCCTCAAGTGATCCTCTTGCCGTGGCCTCCCAAAGTGCTGAGATTACAGGCATGAGCCACTGCATCCAGCAGGCAGCACTGTGTTTTCTTAGTGGTACCAATAATACAAACGCTACATCATATAGCAAAGAAATCTTCAATAAAAAATGTGATACAGTACTAGCTCTGCTACTTATGGAATGGCTCGAGTCAGAAATCACTTAACCTCAGTTTCTCCATCAGTAAAATAAAGGTAAAACAGTCCCTACTTCAAAGTCACATGTGGAGAGTTAAAATATGTGAAGCATGCCTGGCATATTGTAACGTAGATTCATACTCACCATCTTATAGATGAGAAACAGGCTCAAAAAACATTAAATAACTTACCCAAATTCCCATCCCATAGGTACACACCTGAAATTCAAACCCAAATCTGTCTGGTTCTATCATCCTTCCTAATCCCCAAGGCTCCCTGACTTATGCAAATTTAAGCATCTTATATTGTCCTTACTCCCATATTGGGCAAAAATCCGACCATCAGAAGTTTAAATTCAAAAGTTGTCAGGTGATATGCCTTGCTAGCATCAGTGACATTTGACAGGTGTCAGATGGTTATTAATGAATTCAATCACTTAACTGACAGGTGGAAGTGGTATAAACTTGCTTTTGGCCAGCTACCCTGAGAAACGGTTTTCCTCTCTTACTCTTTAGCTTTTAGGGGTGTATTTTTTATAATTTGGGAAGTTAAAAGAAAAGACTGGCTTGGCCCAAATCTGCCTGTGAAAAGCTGCAAGCTGAAACCACAGTGAAGTCAGAGATGGAGCCCATGTATCTGGAGCTCTCGGTCCACGTCATTAGATAGTTATGATCCCATTTTGGGCAAGAGAAATGACTGATCCAAAGGAGACATGCAAAGTGATAACTTACCATTTTGTTTTCAAATCCTCCTGTTATCCCCAGGCTAAAGTCCTGCCCATATCTGAGGACTTGACCAGTGGCGTCTCTGTGTACACTGTCAGTGGACAATAAATATAATGCAAATGTGAACTCTCAGTATTAGAATCATTCTATGACTATTTTTTATGCATGCAATTTTGTTTATAATCAGTTTTTTCGAAGATTTGTATTCACATACTGTAACTGAATTAAATAATTAAATAAAAGGTCTTTTCTTTTGGTCTTAAAATCCAGTTAGTAGCCTACTCCCTGCCCTGTACCATAGCTAGCACACAAAGCATCCCCACTTTGTGAGCTTCTGGTTAAACTAAGCGCACCATGCTAATGTACACTAAGGAATTCTGGTCAAGTGCACTGGTATCTTCAGAGAGAACCAAGGCAACACATTTGTAGACATTTAATACAATTCCCTCGTAATCCTTCAGGAAACAGACGTTGTGATCAATTTTTAGTTGTCTTAACATATATATTCAAAAGAAATCTAAATTAGAACTTGAAGAACTGTCTAAATACCCTCTTTTTTCCCCAGGCTGGAGTTCAGTGGTGCAATCTCGGCTCACTGCAACCTCCACCTCCCAGGTTCGAGTGATTCTCGTGCTTCAGTGGCACGAATAGCTGGGATTACAGGCACCTGCCACCATGCCCGGCTCATTTTTTGTATTTTTAGTAGAGACAGCGTTTCGACATGTTGGCCAGGCTGGTCTCAAACTCTGCCCACCTTGGCTTCCCAAAGTGTTGGGATTACAAGTGTGAGCCACTGCACCTGGCCCAGCAATTCTTACATTGCTGTTCTACAAATTATAATAGTTTTTTTGTTTTGTTTTGTTTTTTTCTACACACCTATAATCCCAGGATTACAGGAGGCTGAGGCATGAGAATCTCTTTTTTAAAATTATTATTATACTTTAAGTTCTGGGGTACATGTGCAGATCGTGCAGGATTGTTACATAGGTATACACATGCCATGGTGATTTGTGCATCCATCCCCCCTTCCCCGCCCCCACCATCTACATTAGGTATTTCTCCTAATGTTATCCCTCCCCAATCGCCCCACCCCCTGCTATCCCTCCCCCAGCCCTCCCACCCCACCCCCAACAAGCCCCAGTGTGTGATCATGTATCTCTTACTTCTCTAAGGATTTAATTGTTCATCTTCAAAATCTCTTCAAGCACACTTTTAATTTTAAAAGAGCAAATCCCATCTAGTGCTACCTTGTATTAAACTATATATTTTTGTTGTTAAAAATAACATAGCCATATTAAGAACAATGAAAACACTCAAATGTGCTCAAAGAGTTCGAAAATATTATAGGGAATACCCACTTTGCTTTCAGGCAGAATATGGATTTAATTCCCTGGATCTAATACTTATGATTTAAGCATTTTGAATTGAAAACAATTATCCTGCTGTCTAAGGTAAAAAGCAGTTGTAAAGTTCCCTTGACAATAATTCTCGAGGTAATCAAAGCAAGATGAAAATCACAGAAAATCTTCACAAAACCTTCCCTCCAGTCAGCGGCTCCAATACCCAGGTATCTTTAAGCTACAGGTGAAACATATTTATGATGAAAATTAAAGTCTCTTTACCTCAAAATGATAAAAGTGTTTCTACCAATTGGGGTCTTGGCTTGAACGGCGCTCAGGCCACAGGGCACCTCTAATTCATCTCTCAGATGGCACTGAATTTCATCTGGAGTCATACACAGGCTCAGGTCCCCACCCAGAAACATATCAGCTTCCACAGCAGGATCATCGGGATTCACAAGCATAACTTTGTCACCATAATGAATATAACCATCTTCAGTTATGGAAAGTTGCATCTACAATTTTAATAGTAGTTTATTACATAAACCATGCAATTCCTCAACAGTCACTGCTAAGGCAATTTTATTCCTTCTCAGACTAGTATCCACTTCATTCAGGATTTCATTTGGATCCCCTGGAACCCTTAGTTCCTTCTTCCTTTCCCTTCCCGTTTGCCAAGGCAAAGCTCCCAATAATCCCGAATGAAGTCAAATGAAGCTGGTGAAAATCACAAGGATTCACCCATTATTCTAGAAGTTCAACATTCATTGAAAAATTTCTCAATTGCCAACTAAGGGGCATTTTACTTATTTATATATTGACTCACTTATTTCTTTATTTGCAAAATGCAGGTAAACATGATTTAGGGCAGACTTCCCTTATGTTTCTAAAATCTTAGAAGAATTCAAAACACTGCAAATTTTATTTTTAAAACTGTTATTTTCCAAATGGTAACTCAGTTATGAATATTTTTTCTTGCTTAACATATACTCACACCAGGTTCAACAGAATTTTGAAAACAATGTTTGAATTTAAAGATACCGGTCTTAAAAGATTCTTTTTCAGTCTTCTACTTCTCTGTATAAGGAGTTTCCCCTTGTCTCTCTTCTCTAAGAAGTCTTTCATGAGCTCCTAGTTAAAGAGAAAATCAACAACAGTAGCCCTAAATAATACAGATGTTCGTATTCATAACTTTTAGGTCAGAAGCTCTTCCAAGTTGAAAAAGCAAAATTGGAGAACAAAGAAGTAATGTGAGCATAATGGGAATGATGGGACATATTTAGCATTACCTTAATGTTTTTATTACATTATAGAATGTTTAGAAAAATAAGAAAGGCAAAACAAAGAAAAAGAATCATCACCAGGAATTACTCCAGCTTGATTCTATCCTGAGTGACATTTGGAGGCCGTGTCTCCCCTGCTGAGGTTTCCCTTGACTGTGTGATGGCTAATACTAGAAAGTCCACCCCTCCCCAACCTGACCCATACACGAATGGCTCCGAACCTTGTTAAGACTACCTTGGGAGACTACAAGGCAGTGAGGGCAACGTCAATAAAAGCAATGCTCAGGGTCATTTAAGAGGGCAAGCGGCAGGGTAGGAGTGCGGAGGGATATTATTTCTACCTAGAGCCTGTGTCCTCACCTGGTCCACAACCTGAGACTCTAAGACTCTAAAAAACAGCGGGGACCAGGCGCAGTGACTCACGCCTGTACTCCCAGCACTTTGGGAGGCCGAGGCGGTGGATCACCTGAGGTCGAGAGTTCGAGACCAACCTGATCAACATGGAGAAACCCCGTCTCTACTTAAAATACAAAAATTAGCCAGGTATGGTGGTCTGTATCTGTAACCCCAGCTACTCAGGAGGCTGAGGCAAGAGGATCGCTGGAACCGAGAGGCAGAGGTTGCGGTGAGCCAAGGTGGTGCCACTGCACTCCAGCCTGGGCCGAGATGGCGCCATTGCACCCCAGCCTGAGCAACAAGAGCGAGACTCCGTCTCAAGCCTGTAATCCCAGCACTTTGGGAGGCCGAGGCGGGTAGATCATGAGGTCAAGAGATCGAGACCATCCTGGTCAACATGGTGAAACCCTGTCTCTACTAAAACTACAAAAACTTAGCTGGGCATGGTGGCGCGTGCCTGTAGTCCCAGCTACTCAGGAGGCTGAGGCAGGAGAATTGCCTGAACCCAGGAGGCGGAGGTTGCGGTGAGCCGAGATCGCGCCAT